AAAAAAAAGCATCAAAATCAAGAAAGTCAGTGTGCCAAATAACAAAAAAAAGTAAGAAAGGGAGAAAGAGAAGCCAGCGCATATAGTTAAAGGAAGAGGAGGATAATGTGACTAGAGTACCTCTGAGCTGCCCTGCATGCAGCCTGGAAATAAATTACTACTTCCCTTCAGATCTCTCCCGTATTTGACTCCACTATCCCCCCCCCTCCCCTCCTCCCTTCTCTCTGTCATCATTGCCACTCAGCAAACGCACATCTCAATCCTCTTCCTTTTTTTCACGCTGTTAATTTTGTCGCCCTCTCCCTTTTTCTTCCCCTCTCTCCTCCGCTCACTCTCTTCTCTGTCAATATCTGGCTTTTATTCGGAGATTTAAAGCTGCATGTCCCTCCCACCCCTAGTGTGCGTTTGATGTTTGACAAGGGCCCTTTGAAGTGTGCTGACTTCAGAGGCTCGCCTCGCTGATGGCTTGGTCGGGCTACAGAGGGTGCAGGCAGGGGGCCTCCCCTCCGAGCAAGACCAACTGCTGCCCCCCCCCCGCCCCCTTCCCTTCCCCTCGCCTGGCACTGCCAAGGGCACTGGGCACGGGGAGATCCGGGGAGCGATGGGTTCAGGTTAGCTCCAGGGCAAGGGCGCGTGGATTAGGCCTTTTTGGAATAGCGGCAGGCGTTTTTGGAACAAGATAAGATTAGGGCAAGGGCAGCGGATTAACACGCCATATTGCATCCATCAGAGACGCCCTCTCGCACAGACATTAAAGAGTCCTCCTCCATGTGTTGTGTGCCTTGCAGAGGACACACCGGCTGCCTAAGGAGATGACCCCCGTCGAGCCCTCGGCCTTCGCCGCGCAGCTCATCGCCAAGCTGGAGAAGCTGAAGCGAGAGCAGGACGCCATGAGCTCGCTGGAGGAGCGGCTGCAGCAGATCCAAGAGGCAAGGCAGCTCTTCTTTATGTTCATGTTCATGTTTCTGCATTTGGCAGACGCTTTTATCCAAAGCGACTCACAGAGTAGACACAATATTACATTTATCATCACTATGAGAATAGGCTATCCAGAAGAGAAACACTGATCAGAGTCAGTGGTGAGATAGAGGTAGAGGGACTACAGAAGGATAGGAGTTGTGGGGGGTAGAGGTACGGGTTAGGGTTAGGATAGGAGCTGTGGGGGGTAAAGGTACGAGTTAGGGTTAGGATAGGAGCTGTGGGGGGGTAGAGGTACGGGTTAGGGTTAGGATAGGAGATGCTCTTTGAAGAGGGGGATCTTCAAGAGTTTCTGAAGACAGACAGGAACCTGCTGTTCTTGTAGCTTGGTAGGTCGTTCCTCCATCTTGGAACGAAACATTAAACAGTCTGGATTGTCTTAAGCGTGGTGAAGGCACTGCTAGACGACAATAACACGTCTGCTGGCTTTGAAACGGACTGAGAGTCGTAGAGAGCCCAGATCCGAGTTTAAGTTCAAGCCCACGGCTCAAAAACGGGGAGCCTCTTCCTCCTCCTCGTCCTCCTCCGTCTCGTTCAGCGAGGGAACTTTCAAACTTATGTTTCCAGACAGACTTTAAGTTCCTTTAAATAGCACTTAGTTGCTCTCCAGTGGCACGTTTGCTGAATCTGTGCGGTGCCAGTCTCTTTGTGCGGCTCAGGCTCTCTCTGCATTATAGATGAAGCACACCCAAAGCCTGTTAGCGGAGATAACAGTGTGGCAAAGAGGAAACTCACATCAAGTTATCCCGCCGTTTGCTCTCTCCCACTTCACAGGAGGATAGATATAAGCTGGTGTGAGCTGAGACAGAAATTCCTTTTGCCAGCTCTCCTTCTAATGCTTGCTAGCTGCTTTAACACCATGGTTCTGCTCGAGGTTTCTGCCTGTTACAAGGAAGTTTTTCCTTGCCTGTGTCGCCAAGTGCTTGCTCATGGTGGGAATTGTTGGGTTTCTGTAATTAACTTCAGAGTAGGGTCTGACCTGCTCTGTTTGGAAAGCTGTGAGACAACTGTTGTTGAGATGTGGCGCTATAGAAATAAAATTGAATTGAATTAACTCCTGGTTTTGTCTTTGGCTGTGCAGGAGGATGAAAGAGAGGAGAGCCCTGACCTCAGTGGCGGCTCCTCCCTCCACCACCCGCTCCTGCCTTCTGCTGGCCACTGCGAGGAGGACCCCCAGGCCATCCTGGACGAGCACCTTTCCCGTGTCCTGAAGACGCCGGGGTGCCAGTCGCCCGGCGTGGCTCGCCACTCGCCGCGCTCCCGCTCCCCCGAGCGCGCCGGCGCCCTGGCGTCCTCCGGCCACGGGCCATATTTCGGTGCCTACCGCGCCACCCCCAAGCTCCTGGTGACGGGCCGGCCCTCCACTAAGCACATCCACCACCACTACATCCACCACCACCACGCTGGGCCCAAGTCCAAGGAGCAGATCGAGTCGGAGGCGGCTCAGCGCGTGCAGTGCCTCTGCCCTCCAGGGGGCGCCACCTATTCCGACTTCACACCTGCGTAAGTGCCCCGGCTGGGCTTCTCGCCCCCCCCTTAGAATTAGACTTAGACAACTTTACTGTCATTTTGCATGCACAGAGTGCACACAGAGAGAAATTTTCATTTGTAAGAACAGAACTCAACAATCCAATAATTGATGGAAGGGTTGTCACTTGTCAATTGTTAGCCACAGCTAGCAATTCAAGGCTAACGTCATGTTAATGACCATAAACTACGTAAATAAATAAATCAGAGAGAAGGGGGGTGGTATCGATACTTGAGTTTCATATCCGGATACAATGTTTTAGTATCAATACTTTTTTGAGTATTGATACTTTTGACGACCCTAGTTGATGGCAACAGGGAAAAAAGATCCTGGTGGACCCACAAAGGACTCCGTTAAACCTCTTCCTAACCGGCCTCCCTTTCTCCCCCCAGCCGCTGCAGCACTTTGTCCCGACGGCCCGCCAAGACCTGCGAGGAGGGCGTGTCCTCGCCGTGCCTCCCCCTGGTCTCCACCGACCGCTCCCAGAACGTCTGGCAGTGGATCCTGGAGAGCGAGAGGCAGGGGAAGCACAAGCCGCACAGGTAGGCGCCTCGGCCTCCACTTCTGGGCTCCGGTTCCACAGGTGTCCGGACCCTTTGGCTAAATTCAATTAAATTCAAATCAATTTCATTTATATAGCGCCACATCAAAACAACAGTTGTCTCACAGCGGTTTCCAAACAGAGCAGGTCAGACCCTACTCTGAAGTTGATTACAGAAACCCAACAATTCCCACCACGAGCAAGCACTAGGCGACACAGGCAAGGAAAAACTTCCTTTTAACAGGCAGAAACCTCGAGCAGAACCATGGCTCAGGGTGGGCGGCCATCTGCCTCGGCCTGTTGGGGGTGAGGGAATGAGAGGGCGAGAGAGAGAGGGAGCAGAGAGAGGCAGCCAACACAGTAACACACAGACTGGATGAAAAATGGCAATGATATTAATGATATTAACTCATTGACTGTCAGCCATTTTCAGAACATAGAGTCCCATACTGCCAGAGTTTTTTGAGCATTTTGACTGATTTTTCAAGAGCCACAGAATAGTTTGTGCTATGACTATGTAAACATCAACACACCAAAAGAAAGAGTAGACTCTCTTCTTTCATCAGGAAAAAAAAATTGTTTGTACCTTATTCCGTTCTTCCTCGAAGTGCGTCTCACTGGCGCCATTTCTCGCATAGCGAACCATTGCGTTTTTTTTTATTTGCCTACAATCTATGCTCATCTCCCATCAAAAGTGGCACAGCTACCTAGAGGGTAAATTTGTTAGTTCATACTCTGTCTGGAAGCCGATATTTACGGAAAAACTTTAGCCGATCGCCCCCAGCCACTCTCGTTGAAAAAAATAAAAGACGTCTATAGACGTCTTTGGCAGCAAATTAGTTAATACTAATGGTAATGGTAGAAGTTATGACGGCAATAACGCCTCCCTCTGGTCCTCCAACAGCTCTCAAGGCCTCAAGAAGTCCGGTCCGCTGGACCCCAAAGCCCTGCCCGCTCGGCCCAGCTTCCCCTGGGGGGGAGGAGGCCTCGGCGGGGGGGCCCACCTCCGCAGCCACCACCCGGGCCACCCCTTCATCCAGGACCCAGCCATGCCCCCCTTGCCCCCCCCCAACACGCTGGCCCAGCTGGAGGAGGCCTGCCGCCGACTGGAGGAGGTCTCCAAGCCGCCAAAGCAAAGGTCGGCCTCCGTTTGAGCTGCACGAGTGAGCACTCGCTTGAACGGGGATCGGTTTGTAATCGGCGTATTTGGCTTTGCAGGCACTCTGCAGCAGCCGGCTGCCTTCAGAGGGACCGGAGCCACCCGGCTGCCACCTTCCCCTTCGGAGGAGGCCAACAACCGAACCCCGGCGCCCCGTCAGACGAGTACGGCTGCTTTTTGTCTCTATTTTTGATTTTTTTTAGCTCCTTTAAGTCTAATTTTTTTTCCCGCCATTTTTGTCAACCAAATGTAAAACTTTCTTTGTTTCCACCCTTGCGTCGCCCCTCTTTTCCCACCCAAATATTCTCTAAAATGTAGTCTTTAAACTGAACATTTAGAGTGAAATGTGCTTTAGTTTGGTGGCACGGTGGTGTGGTGGTTAGCACCATGGCCTCACAGCAAGAGGGTTCTGGGCTGGAGTCCCCGGGGGAACCAGGACCAGAGGGTTCTGGGTTGAAGTCCCGGGGAAACCAGGACCTTTCTGGGTGGAGTCTGCATGTTCTCCTGTGTCTGTGGGTTCTCTCCGGGTTCTCCGGCTTCCTCCCACCGTCCAAAAACCTGCATGTTAGGTTGACTGGACACTCCAAATTGCCCTTAGGAGTGAATGTGAGTGTGTGTGGTTGTTGGTCCTTGTGTGTCTCTGTGTGTCCCTGTGATGGACTGGGGACGGTCCAGGGTGACCCCGCCTCTCCCCATTGATCACTGGGATAGACTCCAGTTCTCTCCGACCCCATTAGGGAATAAGGGGTTATCATAATGGATGGATGTGCTTTAGTTCAGAGTCCTGGTCGTCCAGCTGTCGAAGGATTCAGACTCAACCACTCAAAAGCGTTTTTTCTGCTCAGGTCTAAGGAGCTGGTGGTCACCTACTTCTTCTGCGGGGAGGAGATTCCTTATCGCAGCATGATGAAAACCCACTGCCTCACCCTCGGCCACTTCAAGGACCAGCTCAGCAAGAAAGGCAACTACCGGTAAATACGGAGCTTTATCTGACCCGTGCTCTACTGCGCATTCACACATCTGTCTGCCAAGTGGGAGGCTGAAGCACTCCAGAGTTGTGAGGGGGAAAAAAAATGGGTTGATCCACTGTACTCGGAGCTTACAGCGATGGGGGGAGAGGAGGGAGGTCTGGGGTGAATTTTTCCCCGCATCTGGTTCTGATTTCCATGCTAAGGCAGCCTTAATAAATACGGCT